GCGCTCGTCACGGTGTCGGCTCGCCGGCTGCGGAGGTCACCCGGCGCGTTCGAGTGTCCCCGGAGGAGCCCGGTGACTGAGCGGCCCGCTCGCTCGAGATTAACGCTGTTTACCGGCGCGCGTGGGGTCAGATGGGCCGTGTGAGCACCCAGCGCGGCTCCCAGAACAGCGCTCGCTTTATTCAACCGCGAGGATGAAAAACAAAACGCGGCGCATGGCTGCCGCTCCGCGCGACTGTGATTTTACGGTGCGTGCCGTGGGCGCAGTGTTTACTGCGCACGCTCGCGGCTAGTCATCCGGAGCCTCCACCCAGTCGTTGCGGTTACGTGACTGCAGCACCGCTCCCGTCGACTGGCTATCGAACTGTCTGGGCGAGAGCCCAGAGTCGGCCTCTGGCTCCATGAAGGCTACGGCGGGAGCGGCGCGGGCTCGGAGGCAGCCGTGATGGCCCGCTGCAGACGCTGTTTGCTCTGCTCTCTCGCCGCCGGCTGCGGCGAGCTCCGGCCGGCCAAGGCCGCGTGCTCCTCGAGTGGCGCTGGCCGGCCGAAGACAGCTCCCTTCTAAAGCGCCCGGCGCCGTGCAGGTGTGGCGGATCGAACGCCAAGCGTCGAGGCGCCCATCGCCGTGGTGGTCGCGTGTGTCGCTCATCTCCGCGCGCCGCGAGGAGACGACGGGCCGACGCTGTCAGCCCAGGCTCAAGGCGTCCGGCTTCAGACAGTGCTCCCTGGCCTTCATATGTTGCCTGAGATGGCCGCTGGACCCGTTCCCGGCCGCCTCAGCGTCCGCAGACCTCGAAACCTCTCATTGCCAGGCGGTGACGACCCAGCACGAGACCCGTTACGTCCTTAACTGTGAGAGCCTCGGATCCTCACGACAACATGAACAGGCGGCCCAAATGGGACCACGTCCGTAGCGACCTCGAATCTTGCTCGCCAAATTACCCATCGGTAACGCACCTTGACATCTGACATCTCGGCTCCAAAACAAAGAGCGGCGCGCGCGCCGATTGGGTGGAATGCGAGCCGCAGCGACCGCGACGAGCGGTCTTTACGCTGGGACAGCGAGCCGCGGCAGGCAAACTGTGCCGCTTGCATGGCCCGCTCCCGTGAGCCGACCCACCGATGGGCTGACGTAGATGTCCAGTCAGTTGAGTAAGGCTCATCGGGTACTTTTGTCAGCTGTGGACCCTGGAGCTCCTTTCAGATTCAATTGAACATGGTGATTGGCAAATCCCATGTCAGAAGTGTGACGGGATTCAATTCGGTTTTCGTGCGCTATTTATGCATGCCAGGGACGCTGCCTGATCGGCAGGTCCGAGCGAGGGGATTGTCCGCACAGCTGAGCGGTGTGGAGTCAATGGAGTCAATGCCTGTCTGGGCGGCGTGGAGTCAAGAGTGAAGTCAAGGCCTTCCAGAGACGGTGTCGTCCGGCCCAGACGATACTGTCAGCAGAAGAATATTGAACACAAATGTGTGGTTGCTTAAATCTGTCCGGTGCAGCCTGTCCTCACTCCTCATCCTGTAACGTCTTTTTTGACAGAAGGAATGCCGTTTTGTACTAAGTTCTTCTCATGGAAAGCTCTTTGGTTGGTTGGAACTGCTATGACAACAACCAAGATCTTTATCCACCATTTTGTCAGCATCTGTGCCCTATAACTAAATTTTGTTTGCAACCTCGGCAGCCCTACGACTGACCTTCGGTGTCTCTCAGACGGCCGCCTCCTCCGAGTTCTCACCGTCTCTCGTCATGACGGCGCTCCAGAGCGGCCCCACCCACCCCTGCGCCGCCGCCGCCGCCGCCGCTCCATTTGGTCCCGCCGCTTGACCCAGCTCATTTGCAGCCCCCATTCCGTCGCGTGGGGCAGCGTTGCGAGACGGAGAAGAGAGGGGCGCCGCCCTCCCGCCACGGGCGCGGGCGGGGGTCCAGACCCGACATCGGGGTCAGGACGGCGCTGCAATGCAATGGCTCAGCATTCTGACCGCTGCCATGGCAACAGAAGCCGGCAGCCTAGCGCGCGCTTGGCCCGCGCGGCTTGCCAGGCGGCAGTCACCTGCGCCTGCGCTTGGTGCACGGGTTTTTGCGGCCTGCGTTTTTGCACCACCCAGGGTGTAGCTATTGTGATAGCGTGGGTGACGCGTTTGTACTCGTGTCTGGTGTGGGCCCTGAAAAAAGAGGCGAGTTCGGCGCGTGCCAGTATCACGTGACTCATCGTCGTCTGACCCCGCCGATAGCAGCACCGTGTGACGCATCCACCCGCACATAAAGGCGCCGGCTCGGGATATAAACTGTACTTACAGGCGGAGACGCTGGATCTTTAACCCACATAGTCGGCCGCGCTCCCGCCCGGCATGAATCGCAACCAAGGCTGTTCGCGGCACAAAGGCTGGTCTCGCGACCGACCTTGGCTTGGGGTGCAAAGCGTTATTTGCGAACGAGTATCCGTCGGCGTAGGAAGAGGAATGTCCGCCCGCTGTGACAGCCTTGGCGCGTCCGGCTAAACAATTCATGGCACAGCACCTGCAGTCGACCAGCCTGGCGCGGTGAAGGCACCGGCGTCTGAGGTAGGGGTCGCGCCCTCGCGTCAGACGCGGGTGCGCCTCCGAGCCCTCCCCTGTCCCTCTCGAAGCCAGTCGCTCGCCTCGGCTTGCGCGATGGTTGGGCCGGACGAACACCTGAGCGCCAGCTGTCGATTGGACCCGCGGTCAGCCGCCATTATGTCATTCACCCGTGGCGCCGCCCGCTAATAGGTCATTATGTCATTCACCGGCAACGGAGGGCGCCAGCGGGTCATTATATCATTCTCCGGTAACACGGGTCATTATGTCGGCGTCGCCGCGGATAACGCCAGGTAATCCGCTTACGTCCCGGACGCCTGCGCCGCACGTCTCCTCCTCTACATGACGGGTGAGACTGGCCGAGCCGTGTTCGCAGCCTCTCCCAGGCGGCGGAGGCGACGAACACTGCAGCGCGCGTGTCCGGCAGTGCGACTGGGGGTGCATTCGGCAACGCCGGCGCGGGCGTGTTCGCTGGCCGGCCGGCCGCGCCGGCCGAAATGGATGAGCTGGTGCGTGGGCGACGTTGTGCCTTTTTGAAAGGGCCTGGGTAAACAGGCACGTGTGTCATCGTGAAGGGCGCGTGTCGTGTTGACTCGCGGCTCGTAACGTTCAGCGGCCACTTACGACACGGCGGCCGTGTTTACCTAAACTCATCGCGCAGCGAGCTGGCTTGAATGCGCAGCTTCAGACACAACGGGACAGGCTCGCACCCCGCAGGCACGCGACGGGTCCGAGCAGCTGTGTTTGGTTGGAAGTGGCGTCGGCTCATCGCGGCTGGGGACAGCCTCACGCGCATGGACGTGGCTTTCTCATGTCCTGCCTTTCAGTTGCGAAACTCAAACAGCTATTGGGGCTTCCGTGTGGACATGGACGTCACCGCTGGGGTGATTGTTGGCTGAGGATGGGCTTGTTGAACTAAGAATGGTTTGTGGTGCTGTGGCTTCCAGGCCAGCATGTTACGATTCCAGAACAACTTAAAACATGCGACTTTTTCATTGTGATCAGGTTAAAACAATGTTCTAATATTCCTAGTCTTCATCTGTTAAGCTAAATTCTCAATCAATTACAGTTTACCTAAAAACGGGTCTGCTTTTGATGGCACGTTCATAGTATCTAACACCCCAAAAAGAAGATAGCCATTTTTAGCCATTCCTTTCTGCTTTTCAGGCAGCGATGGAGCGATAGCTTTTTCCTGACCGAGCCCTAAAACACACGCTGAGCATCGCGGCCGCGCAACTGAATCCGACCCACCTTAATGTGCATTCAGTCGGCTCTATTGAGGGGTGCGCGGGCCGCGCCGAAGCGCACGCCGCGCCGGTCCGCCCGAGATCCCGTATTGGGGTCGCCGGCTCCCGATTCGTCGCGTTTATTTGGCTTGGCCGAGAGCGAGAGCGGTGTTGGCCTTTGTCTGGGTCAGCTTCCGAAGGTCACCCGAGTTGGGAGGCGGGTCATTTCTCTCCTTTTTTGCTGCGGTCTGGCGGAGGAGCGGCGGCCGACCAACGCCATCAAGGACTCGCTGTGTCGCACGCTTCGAGCGTACCCTGAAGCTGATTGAATTTAGCGCCTTCTTAGCCGGGACATTCCCCAGCCAAGCATCATCTCGTTGCTAGGGCGCGGCTTCATCTCGCTGTCATGTCCAGTAGCCGCTTCAAGCTGTCGCGTGCAGCTGCCATAAGTGTCAGCTTTGTTCAGCCATTATGACCGGCTGCCATGTCCAGTTGCCATGTCCAGCTGTCATGCTTGGCGGCAGCGCCATGAGCGGTGGAGCCTGGACATGCTCCGAGCCAGCGGAGCCGGCCGCTGCTCCTCTCTTGGCTCTTCACTCCACTTGGTCGTCTGCACGGACGCTCCTTGCCACCGTACCCCGACGCTGTATGAGTGTCGGAGTCAAACGAAAACGACGGGTGTGATGCGCTCCTATGACGTCAGCCAACGCGAGGCCTTTCGCCGGTGACCTTGTGCAGTCCTCAAGACGAGCCCGACGAGGTGGCGGAGCGCGGTGCGGGCCAGCCGGCGCCGTCCGCTCGGGTTCGACGCGTGCCGTGTCACCCGGTCGCCCGCACAAGCTGCGAAGCGATGGGCGATGAAATGTTGGGTGGCGAAGCGCTCGTCCGCGGCTTATTATACAAATGTGTGATCATGTGGTGCAGTGGGGAAAGAGCGCCCAATCTATGCGTGGAGAAATGAACGTGTGCTTCGCGGTTTTGACTTTTGAATTTACCTCCCGCTCATACACTTGTGAGGGTCCTGCAGGCCGTGCATGAACGTCTCGTGTTTTGTACTGCATGTGGCCGGAAGGCCTGGTGGAGACTCTCGTTCACTGACGCTGCCGCGTTTCGCGTCTGGCAGCTGTCTTCCTCTGACACCGCTCTCGTCGGCAGCTGTCCTCCTCTGACGCCGCTCTCGTCGGCAGCTGTCCTCCTCTGACACCGCTCTCTTCGGCAGATGCTGCTGCTGCTGGCAGCGGCGTGCGCGCTAGCGGGCGGCGAGCCGCAGAAGGGTTACAGCTACCCGGTGCCGGAGAACGGTCTGTACCTGCCGCCGCCACCGGACAAGGGCGGCCCCATCAACCCGGGCGGGTCGAACACCGTCGACATCGGTATCGAGTTGCCGCGCGACACCACGCCCCGGCCGGCAACCACGCGGCCGCCGCGCACCTTCCGCCCGCGCACCACCAGCGCGCCACGCAGGCCCGCCACCAGGCGGCCGCCGGCGACTCGGCGACCGGTGGCGACCACCGAGCGGCCGTACCAACCGCCGGCGACTAGCCGGCCGGTGGTTACCACCCAGCGGCCGGTGGTTACCAGGAGACCGGTGCCGTCTCGGAGGCCGGCGGTGACCACCCAGCAGCCGTACCGACCCCCGGCCACGCGCCGACCCGTGGTTACCCGGCGTCCGGCGGTTACCACGAGGCGTCCGGCGCCCACTCGTCGTCCCGTGGTTTCCACTGAGCGGCCTTACCGGCCCCCGGCGACTCGCAGACCGGTGGTTACCACCCCAAGGCCTGTGATTACCCGGCGTCCGGCGATTACCCGGCGTCCGGCTGTTACCACGAGGCGTCCAGTGCCCACTCGTCGTCCGGTGGTTACCACTGAGCGGCCTTACCAGCCTCCGTCGACTCGCAGGCCAGTGGTTACCACCGGGCGGCCCTACCAGCCACCGGCGACTCGCAGGCCGGTGGTCACCACCAGGCGTCCTGTGGTTACTCAGCGACCCGTGGCTACCACCAGACGCCCCGTACCCACTCGCCGCCCTGCACCCACTCGCCGCCCCGCACCCACTCGCCGCCCCGCACCCACTCGCCGCCCCGCACCCACTCGCCGCCCCGTACCCTCCCGTCGTCCAGTGGTCACCACCCAGCAGCCGTACCGGCCGCCGGCGACCCGTCGCCCTCGGCCCACTCCGGGCCGCCCCATCACTACGCCCCGGCCAAGCTACATCCCTCCCAACCCGCTGATCCCGGATGGCACTGGCCCCAACGGAGGTCGCGTGCCCTTCCCTACCACCCGAGCTCCTGTGGTCACCACCCGCCGTCCCATCCCAACCAGGGGGCCTAGCATCACCACCCGCCGTCCCGTCCCAACCAGGAGGCCTAGCATCACCACCCGCCGCCCCGTCCCAACCAGAAGACCCATCATCACCACTGGCCGTCCCGTCACCACCAGGAGGCCCATCATCACTACTGGCCGTCCCGTCACCACCAGGAGGCCCATCATCACTACTGGCCGTCCCGTCACCACCAGGAGGCCCATCATCACTACTGGCCGTCCCGTCACCACCAGAAGGCCCATCATTACCACTCGTCGCCCCATCCCCACCAGGAGGCCCGCTATCACCACTGGCCGTCCCGTCACCACCAGAAGGCCCATCATCACCACTGGTCGCCCCGTTCCCACCAGGAGACCCGCTATTACCACTGGCCGTCCCGTCACCACTCGAAGGCCTGTTATCACCACCGGAAGACCGTCCGTCACCAGAAGACCCGGTGTCACCACCCCCGCACCGTCCGGCTCCGGCTCGGTAAGGTTCATTTGGAAAAAATAATCACGAGCCGCACCAGGCTGTGGGTGGCTCAGGACGCCCGCTGATGCTTGTTGTGGGCAGAGTCGCTTTAAGAGCTTCCGTTAAGCTTCAGTTAAGAACTGTGCACGATTAGATTCTCTCTAAAAATGGGTTCAAAGGGTGGCCTCTGGCGGTGGCAAGCAAAGCTTCTGACTGTCAGATGGGGAGAATGTGTGTGTGGGGGGGGGGGGAGGAGGATTATAGAGAAAACGGCATTTCGGTTTTGCTTTGCATGCAGCGCATGGCGCTTGGTATTAACGCGGAGTGTGATGCATACCCCATTCTCCTCCGTGGCACCAACCCTGACTCCTAGCACTCAGGTCATGTGGTGTTTATTTTCATTGCCGTGATTTTTGTTGCCGGGATGCCTACGAATTATATAACGCCCGCACATTGACTCATCCTGGTCACCTCTCGCATCCGCTAACACGTCCGCCACCCGTTCCAGACGATGATGCACATGTCTCGTCCGTACGAGTTCGGCTACGACGTCGACGACTCGAACACCGACAACGCCTTCAGCCAGAAGGAGACGAGCGACGGCATGGTCATCACCGGCGAGTACCGCTGGAAGATGCCTGACGGCCGCACCCAGATCGTCACCTACCTGGCCGACTGGGCCAAGGGCTACTACGCCGACATCCGCTACGAGTAGCCGAAGCGGCGGCGGTTCAAGTGCGTGACGGTGCGAGCGGGAGCGCCTGCGGTGGCGACGCTCACGTGCGTGACTTTGCCATTGCGATTTCTGTGATACCAAAGCCGCGGCCGAAGCCCGCGGCGCCGACTCAAGATCCTGGTATTGCGCGTGTGCGCCGATGGCCGGTGTTTTGTTGCGGGTGCGAGAAGTGGGAGAGAATCAGGCTGGAGGGCTTCGAGGATGAGAAGGTTGCGGAGCGGGTGCGTGGGAAGGCGTGTGACCTATTGATGCGAGCCACTGAGCGGTGTGAGCGTCACGTTCTATGTATATATTCAGAGTGTGATCTTTTGTTTCGATTGGCAGAATGAGCGATGCTTTTAGATTTATGAGATCGTTCGTCATTGGCATACTTATTTGGTCGACGTCAGTGGTAGAATGCCCGTAAGTGCTGCACATGGTGACTGTATTCTTGGCCTTCATTCCTCCTCTTGTGAATAGTTGTATATTCCTTGCTAAATAATACAAACGGGAACACCAGCTCCCAACTCTCTTTCTTGTTTCATTGTTCACATAGCGAGACATGTCAAGCATGAGAGACAAAAAGAAATGGTAAAGATGCACCTTGAAACCAGACTACAGATAACCTTGATGGCTAGAGCTTAGGGAAAACATGTCAAAATGAGACACCCGTGGCTAAATGTCGATGGTAGACCCACCCTTTCTGGCCTTGTGATCGCCCGCGGCTTTGATGTCCAAATTGTACTAATTACATGAGGGAAGTCGTTTGCCTATTGTTCTGAGTATCACCCGTGTCCATGATAATTGCCACTACCTATTTATGTTTTAGGGAGTCACAAATGCGATCAGGGAAAGTAAAAACATTAGGGTGTGTTGCTCGGTTTCGTACCCAAGCTGAGCTATTTTGAGACTGGCATCAAAACGGTTTATTTCCTCTGATCTGTACATAACTTTAGAGAGATATATACCGATAGGAAAGTGGTTATGAGCAGCCAGTTCCTACCTAGAGTCTCTGCTCTCAAAATAATTATAACCCGGTCTTTTATAAACTACTGTCGGTCGTTTAAAAGTTGTCAACTTAAGATTTTCGTAAATCAAATGTGTGACCAAACCATGCTATCTTAATTCACTTTCAAAACAACTCTCAACTTACCATAGATATCAGCACTATGGAGCCTAATCAGACTGCCATATCTATAGGCAGACGATGCGCTGGTGAATACTGTATATAATCTACAGCTTTGTATGACTGAGTGAGAGGACATACATGACGTGTGGGCACATAGAACACTAATGATGCGCCACTGACTGTGTATTGTTATTTTGAAGAGGCCCATTGCTATCGGATGCTGCAAGATGCAAGATGTACCACATGCCAAACGATTGGAGCGTGGTACGTGAAAAAGGTTGCAATCTTCTCCATGCTGTATAATCCGAAACATAAGCCAACTCACAAGACTTGTCAGAAGTTGCGAGCAACGAAGCTATATTATGATCTCAAAATCCAAAAAGGCTGTGAAACAATTGAGCGTATTGATTGATTTATATTACTTATATATATATATATATATATATATATATATGTATATTCTAACATGCATGTTATATATATATATATATATATATATATATATATATATATATATATATATATGGATGTATATGTGTATATATGATTGATTCATATTACTATGCAATTAAAATCAAACCCAATTTCCAGAGACTGGAGTTTTTCAGCTGGTCCATTTCATACTGAGATAAGGTCTATCCATATTGCATAACGCCACGAATCGTGACACTTCCTGGCATAGACATAAACATGGGCACTGTGTGTATTGCTGTAGGAGCCTTATAATACGTATTCGGATAGATATCCGCTTCCCCATATACGTATACTTAATACCATTCAACGCGGGGTGGGCCTGTGCTAACCCAGGTCGTCCTGCAGCTCATGCCAGCACCACTGACGTCATCAGCCCAGCGACATCACCTGCTAATATACGTGGGCCAGACGAGCTATGCACGCTCCGCCGGACCCATGGATACTGGCCCGACCCGTCTCTTTCACACGCGGTCAGTTGCTGGCGCGCCAAATTTGAACGGCGCGTTCCATCTGCCCGGCCAGGTAATACGCATAGCCTGGCTAGCTCAGTCGCTAGAGCAGGGGACTCTTAATCCCAGGGTCGAGCCCAACGTTGGGCGAATCGTTTAGGCTATAATGACAGGCGTGTGAGAAGAAGGCAAAGAAAGCCATGCTGACCTGCATCCATCTTCAGTGATGCCATGAACATGAACCATCCACCCAGTTTTCTACTTACATTCTCGCCTTGCATGCCGTCATGAGAGCTAAACAATCCGCCCAACGTGGGGCTCGAACCCACGACCCTGGGATTAAGAGTCTGTGATCAACATGCATGACAGTTTTTACTTTGTGTTGCATTTCTTTATCATACAGCCATTGTTGATTATTGAATCATATTGGCAGCATCGTGAGTGAAATGATTAGCAACTAACAGCGTTTACGTGTAGGTAACCACGAAACGTGGAGTCAACTCTTCTCACATAGAAAAAAGGCATCCTGTTTTTGCAAGACGGCAAAACCCTGGTATTTTCGACACGCGTGTGGCAAATTATGTTTAATATTGAATGCGTCATAGAATTCTCTAAATGCTACCATTGATCAGCTAAGGGCGATAGCAGTAGACAGCGGTCGAAGCTCCTACGGCTTCTCTAATCCATCACGGTCATGAAACGTCATTGTTGTGTATTCTCTACCACTCTCAGGGCGAGTCACGTGACTCAGGTGCCCGGTCTACATGGGGCCGACGAGAGAGTGCAGTGAGCCTGGCGCGTGCCATGTGCCACCGTACAGTCAGCTGCTTACGCGCCAAATTTGAACGACGCCTGCCACCTGTCTGGCTCCGAAGTGCCTGTAGCCCGGTTTCCTCAGTCGGAAGAGCATGGGACTCGTAACCCCAGGGTCGTGGTTTTGGGCCGCACGTTGAGCGGAATGTTTAGCTCTAATGACGACAAGCAAGACGGCAAAGAAAGCACATGATTGGCAAAGTTTGCCAGACAAAATATAAAAAGCAGCAATAGATTCGAAGTTCAAGATCCACGCAATTTGTTCTAAAAGTGGCAGAGGAGCAACAAAAAGCTCAGCTGATTAAAAAATGAATTAAAAAGGATTTGAGAGAATGGATAGCATGATTGATTGGAGCATGTCATCCACATATTCAGCAATTCTCTCGCATCCATCCGGTTGAAGAATACAGGAAAATGCTATACATTACCGGAGGCTAGCGTAAACTGCAACATTGTACAAGAACCTAGCATAAATTGTTTAATCATTTCATAAACGATGAAATTGAATGTACTAATGCCAACGGCTGTTGATGCGTCTTGGCGTTCAACGCATGCAATAGAACCATCCATGCATATAGATGATTTTTTTCAGCCCAGAGACACACAACAGGATTTGACTATTTGAAATCTGTCGGATTTTCCCTGTCATTATAACCGGCAACCAATGAAGATATTGCTCAAGTCGCAAGAAGACAAATTTGTCGGAGACTGTGTAGAGCCGCTATGTCTCCCTCATCAATGATCTAACCTTTTCCCCCGACATATCCCATCTCTCATCATCTCTATCTCACACGCTTTTTCGTAGCCTTAACAGACAGCCCAACGTGGACCGCCCAACGACCGCCCTCTACCGACTGAGCTTGTCGGGCCACATGGATCTTGCCGCTGGGCTGATGACGTCGGTGGAGCTGGAATGAACGGAAGATTGTCTTGAATGCTACCAGTGAACAGCCCAGGACAATACCAAATGACAGCGACTAACGCTCCCATGCTTACCCTCAGCCATCGCGGCCATCAAACGTCCCTGTTACGTGTTGCTCTGTCACTCCCAGAGCGAGTCACGTGACTCAGGTGCCCGGTCTACGTGGGGCCGACGAGAGAGTGCAGTGAGCCTGGCGCGTACCATGTGCCACCGTACAGTCAGCTGCTTACGCGCCAAATTTGAACGGCGCCCGCCACCTGCCCGGCCCCTGCGGTCCCGTCGCCCGGCTAGCTCAGTCGGTAGAGCATGGGACTCTTAATCCCAGGGTCGTGGGTTCGAGCCCCACGTTGGGCGGAACGTTTAGCTCTCATGATGGCACGCAAGGCGAGAGTGCCACTAGAAAATGTGGGGAAGTTTCCCAGAAGAAAAATATAATAACCACGGAGCAGCAAGCAGCAGCATTAAAGAAGAGGCTTTACGAGATTCGCTCTAAAAGTGACAGAGCAGCAACAAACAAGGCAGATCAAATAGTGGAAAGTAGATTGGATGCAACTGAATTTAAATTGAATGATAAACTTGTCTTATGTCATCGACATTTCCACCAGCCTTCTCGCCGAGCTGCATTCATCTTGCCAAAGAATGCGAGAGAGTGCCATGTACTACAAGAGCTTAACGTAGACTGCAGCACTTCATAGGGCAATAGCACTAAATGTTTATCACTCCGTAAGCGATAGACTTGAACGAGCCAATAACCATGGTTGACGATGCTTTTCGGTGTTGATGCAACAAAGCCATTTATGCAAATATATGATGACTAGCACGCAGCAGCATGGACGTCCATGTAGCATTGTTTTGTTATCAAAAGTGGACTGCTTTCGGAATTGGACTTCGTTGTGGAATGCTTATTATCCTAAAGAAACAATAAACTATGAACAATTTTAGTTAATATTAATACATAACCAGAAACATAAACAGGATTTGGCGATTTGCAGCGCGTCGAGTTCCCCTTGCTTTGTCATCTGCCTCGGTTCTGAAGAGGACTGCTACTGTTGAAGTTTTTCTAAGAGTTTGCAGTTACAGCGCCTTGGCTTGGGTGACCGTGATCCACCATTTCTTTACCATCTTCTCACATGCCCGTCATTAGAGTCTAAACTTAAGAGAATGGATAGCATGATTAATTGGAGCATGTCGTCCACATATTCAGCAATCCTCTTGCATCCATCCGGTTGAAGAATGCAGGAGAATGCTATGCATTACCGGAGGCTAGCGTAAAGTACAACATTGTACAAGAACCCAGCACTAATATCTTAATCGTTTATTAAACGATGGAATTGCATGCACTAATGTCAGCAGTTGTTGATACGTCTTGCCGTTCAACGCGTGCGATAGAGCCATTCATGCATGCAGATGATTCTTCACAGCCAAGAGACACAACAGGATTTAGCTATTTGAAATCTGTCGGATTTTCCCTGTCATTATAACCGATAACACAATGAAGATATTGCTCAAGTCACAAGAAGACAAACTTGTGGGACACTGTGCGATGCAGCCATGCGTCCCTAATTAATCATCTTACCTTTGCCCCGATATATCCCATCTCTCATCATCTCCATCTCACACGTTTTTTTTTAGCAGCCTTAACAGACAGCCCAACGTGGACCGCCCAGCGACCGCCCTCTACCGACCGAGCTAGTCGGGCCACATGGATCTTGCAGCTGGGCTGATGTTAGTGGTGTTGGCATGAA